ATTCCCACATCGTTCTTGTGTTTATATTCTCACATGTGAGCTTCATGTTTTTACTTTGTGGTTTAATAATTGGGATAGAATAGGAAGTTTTGATTTATAGGATGAAAACAGTTAAACTTCAGAGAGATTGTTCATTTGCTCAGAAGTCACATGGCCAATAAATGCTTTGAGACACCTAACACAAGTGACTTGGGGTCCACAACTCAGTGGTTTGTATTATTGACTGATCCAAAATATCAAGGTTTTACAAGTTTCTTTTAAATGTAAAAGATACTGAAAAACAAGTTAAAAATCGCAAACCCACCATAAAAAATTGTACCACTGGGCACAAGAGGATCCCCAGTTTGAGGATAGGCTAGGTAACTTACCAAGTCCCTGTCTAAATAAAAAGGGCTGGGGATTTTAGATGGTGCAGTATTCTATTGTACACATGACAATTTGTTCGGCTCTTCTGTTGGTGGACATTTATTTCCAACCCTTTGCTGTTGCAATGTTCAGCAAACTCAAATAGCATTGGCATAGAGCCCAAGAAAAACCAGTCCTAATGGATGCAACAGTCTAAACACCCACATTTGTTTTTTGTTTTTTGGGGTTTTTTTGGTACTGGGGATCGAACTCGAGTCCTTGTTCTTGCAAGGCAGGCAGTGGAACCACTGAGCTAAATCCCCGGCCCCACATTTGGTGTTTGATAGGCATAGAGGTGCATGGCATTAATTAAATATGACTTTTAGATGTGACTTTTATACTTGAGTGTTACAATAGTCCCCTAGCTTACATTCCTAGATGCAGGCTTTACCAGGTCAAAGGATGTGTTATGAATTGAAAACACATTGATTGAGTATTCTTAAACTTTAAATAGGAGTAGCCCAACTAGAAAACAGTCAGCCTTACTGCTACTTCTGCTCTCCATAGAGAAGGGAGAATAAAAAAGAACATTACTCAAAATCTTGCTTCTCAGTCAACCTCTGTGCTTGGGGTTTCGTATAAATATCAATAACCTTAGTGCTTAGGTATTGGCCTTGTCTCTTCTGTCCATCTTGTCAAAAAAGACAGGTGGCCTTAAAGGAACACAGATACTTTAAGCAAAATATGCCTTTTTAGCAGCTAAAGCATTTGACCCATTTGGTACCAGAATTCTAAGTTCTGGCTTATGTTATCAGGATCTTTATGTGCAGTGTTATAGACTGAAGATCTGTACCCCCAACATACATATATATTGGAAGCCTATCCCCTCGCCGCAGTGGCGTTTGGAAGGTAATTGGGACTAGATAAGCTGTAAAGGTGTGGTCCTTGTCATGAGTGCTGTGAGGTGACGGCAGGGAGCTTGTGCTTTCTCTGTCTCCTCACTTGGTGCTCACATGACAAGAGGTCACCAGTAAGTCAGAAAGGCCTCAGAATGAAAGCTACCTGGACTGTGCCTTGACTTTGAACCCCCAGCTTCCTGAACTGTGAGAAATAAGTTGCTGTTTATGAACCACTCAGCCCATGGTATTTTGGTGTGGCAGTCTGAGGAAACTAAGGCATATTGAAACCTAACATTAAAAAAACAACACAAACTGGCATCCGTAATGTTAAGGCACTAGTATACTTCTGGGATAATCAGCAGCTCCCTAAGGCCCCTGACCACAGTTGGTGTAGGGAAAATGACCTTGATTAAAAGCAGAGGTATCGACCTCGCTTGACAAACAAGCTGGGCACCACAAAGGGCAAAGCAGACAAAGCAGTTTCAGTGTCCACTACAGCTTAGGCCTGCTGCTCTGCTTTCGCTTTCAGGTGAACAGAAAGGGTGGCTATGGACCTTGTACCCAGACTGTAGGCTGAGTAAATAATCTCCAGCAAAGGGATTGGTAGAATTACGTCTGGCCAAACCTGTGCTTGTTCTCTTCCAGTGACAAGTGCAGTGTGGTAAAAACAGCTCATGGACCACACAAGTTTTCCACTCCTCATTCGTGAAGTTTGGCCTTCACTGTGCTTGAGGAAGCCAGGAGCATCCCATGGCTCTGCATTAGAAAGTTCCAAACAGCCCTCCTCCACACTTAGGAGACACTCGAGGCTAAGAAAGAGCTGCTTCTGTACTGAAATTGAGAGCACTTGTCAGACACCAAATAAATCTGGCCCTTGAGATGGGAAAACCAACCTGGGCTGAGGCAAGAGCGTTCCAAGTCAACCTTGGCCTGGACAGTTTAGAGACTTAGCAAGACTGACTCATAAAAAGGGGTGGGGCGAGGCGGAGATGTAGCTCAGTGTGAAGACTCTGGGTTCAATAAATGTGCCTTTTTGACACCAAACTTGGAAGCAAAGAGAATTTTCTATTTTCCACAAGCCTCAACTTGTCATGAGGAATGAAAACAAGCCTGCCCCTAAAATGAGCACTTCCTTTGGGCTGTCAAGATACACCAGTTACAATGGATGGAAGCCTGTGTGGTTGCAGGACAGATAAGGAACAAAAGCCCAGGAAGAGATGGGTGGGGTTAGAGATCTCTTGGCTATGTGTCTTGGGCAGCACATTGCAACAAGCACTTGGGCTGACTCAGAGTTAGGTGAAGCAAGATACGCCAGACAGAGAGGCGCCCCATGAACAAATGCTGCGGGAAGATCAGGTGAGAGGATTCAGGAATTCGCGGAGGCCCTAGGCTGGGCTTTGTATGGGGACATAATGAAAATCCCTTTTTGATCTTCAAGATCCTTACACATCTTTTTATCGGTGCATAACTAAGATGGCTAAAATGGTCTGTTTAGTATGCTCTGTGCATGATACACCCCACTCACAGTGCCATCCATCTGGTTCCCACGTGGCAGAGGGGTCCTGCAGACCAGAATCCTTAGAGGCCTCAGCCATCTCTCGACGCGTGCACACAGGTAGATGACTCTGTCCTTGCAGGCACAGGCACACAGCTAGTGCACAACGTCACCCCATCCCACTTGCAATGATCTGAGGCCAGCCTTGTGCATATTAAAGAGGTACTGACATTCTTGGGCCACCTGCATTGGAAAAAATCTGATTTGTGCTGTGTCCAAGGGGACCCTGATGTCATAGCAAGAAAGAGCAAGGCCAGCAGATGTGTTAAGCCTGTGCATAAAAGGAGCGTTACAGCCGGAACTCCTAGCTACATCTTAGCTTTTCTTGTTTGTTTTTGCATGCCATGTAGACAGGCGTGGAAAAGGAAGAAGAATTTTTGGCTTCATATAGCTCCCTTGTCTCATGTGGCTACAGTTTTAAGAATTTAATATTCTATTCATGGCCCACATTCAACTCTCATTCTTTATGTGCATCTGTAAATATTCAAGTCTGTCCTACAGGTGTGCCCCACTTTAGGAAAACAATGGATACATGTTGCGCCTGAAGTAATTTATTAAACTCTTATGTTTGCAGAAAGGAGGAGTTGTCATAGGACTTTTAAACACCAAACCCCTTCAGTATGCTTTTTTTTTAATTTAAAAAAAAAATTTTGAGATAGGGTCTCCCTTTGTAGTTCAGGCTGGCCCTGCACTCACTATATAGCCCAGGCTGGCCTTGAACTTGCTGCAGTCCTCCTGCCTCAGCCTCCTGAGTGCTGGGATTACAGGCCAGTATGGTTTTTAAAAGCTTTTTAAAAAGAAAAGCAGCTTTGAGGAAAACAACTATTAAGAGGTCAGTGTATACTCCAATTCCACTTGGTTTTATGTAGCTTCTTACTACAGAATCAGGAATTCACTCAGAGAGAGAGAGAGAGAGAGAGAGAGAGAGAGAGAGAGCACATTTAGGGAACTCCAGAAGAGCCAGGATCATGATAAGGTATTTTACAAATGAAGTTGCACAGGACTAGTTCAAGGAACTGAGTAAGGAGAAGACCCAGGAGGACACGGGGCAAGTTCCCAGCTGCTGGTCATCTTCACACAGGACAGAACGAGGGGCCATGGGCATGAAGTTGTGAGTGAGCAGTTCAGAGATGAGAAGGGGAAGATGCCTGAGGCAGACTGGGAAATACACAGATGAGGGGTGACGGAAGAGTGTGTGAAACGACCCTGGATGTTCCCTCCTCTGGAAGGGGCTCCTTACACTTCCTTCCTGTCCTTGTGGCTTGGTTTTGCAGCACCCAAGCCCCTTGCACATCCTTCACTCCACTGCACTCATGCTCTTATGCTGACACAGTGCAGAGAAGCAGGTTTGGTTTGAGTTTTTCCTATAAGACCTGGCAATGTTCGGAGAAGCGCTTCTGACCAGGGACAACCCCATCTGTTTAAGCTTGGCTCATGCTGTACTTCTACAGAGTCATCTTTGAGTTGCTACAGCCCGTAAGCTGGAATTAATTTCCCCCTCCTCCCAGATCCCATGGTGTAGTTATCTTTTTCCTACAGCCTTAACATTTCAGATCTTGCATTGCAATTCTGTGACCTTGTGTCTTCTTCTCTCCTGGGAAAACTCCAGGACATCCCATCCCCACGGTGCCCATCATATTAGGTAATAAATACAAGGAACTTCCTGCTCAAAGTATAAATCGAGTGCTAGACTTGTCCTTGCGAATAAGAGAGTCAACTTCTTGTACCATGTCAAACAGCAAATCCAGGGCACAGCATATTGTTGCAGCGATGTGAATTTGAGTTAGGGTAGTGTTCTCTCAGTTCAGCAGGGAGTATACTCACCTATGCTCTATTTATTTATTTATTTATTTATTTAGGTACTGGGGATTGAAATCAGGACCTTGCACCTGTGGGGCAGGTGCGGCACCACTGAACTAAATCCCCGGCCCATAAAAGGACACTCTTTAGTATCAAGTAGTTGGGAACTTGAGCATGTCACTGTACCACTGATTTCCAATTTATCATGCCTGTGTTATTGTGAAGTTCACCAGCATATGCATGTGATCGAATTATAACAACAACCAAGAATTTATAGCTTGCCACTTATTTTGGTTCCCTCTCTCCAAGTCCAGTCCAATGAAAGAGCAAAGATCTAGGTGAAGAAAACAAATCAAGGACACAGAATGGTGATTTTCAAAGCATTCAATAAGAAATCATACTCAAACAAAAAATGATTTTATTTTTAAAAGAATAAATTTACATACAGTACATAAGCAGGACAGCTGAAGGCTTCCAAAATAGAAAGCAAGAACATATGGTTCTAAAACACCACATGCATTGATTACATTCGGGAAGCTTAAATTGTCTGGGCAAGAAAATTTCACGTTTCAGTGAACCACTGGGCAGGTTGTGCAGTGATTTCAGCCACTGCCGTTTAAGAGTTTGGAGGTCAAGGATCTTGTCTGTATGGGCCCCCTGCCCCACCCCGTGTATTCTGTTCTGGTGCAGTTCTGAGAAAAACTGGCAAGAAATGACAGCTGTTCAGGATGAAGGAGACAGGATAGGCATGTTGGCCCACATTCAGTAATGGGTTTGGGGAAGATGGGGACAGGAAAAGGGTATCATTCTGCCTGGCTCTTGGACGGGACACTAATCCTGAGGGCCTTGGTGTCAAAGTTGGCCAGGCCACAGAATTCAGGCTTATAGAAGGGTCGCATTGTGGTAAGCTTGACCTTTCAATTCTTAATCTCCAAGACTCCAGACCAAGAGAGGCTTTGGACCAAGACTGGAGCCATACCAGCAGGGGGCGGTCTTTCATCAGAGAGAAAACCAGAGTTTTTGAAAGGAGACTCACTCTGAAGGGACATGCGGAGGTGTGAGTGCGTCCAAGTGCATGCGATTGATTGAGTGAGGTGCTCTGTGGGGATGCATGGAAGAGGGTGAGCAAAAGCAAATTTGGATCCAGTAATAACATTGCACTCAGCTTCTGCCCAATTCTAGGCCACAGAACAGGCGTACTCAAAAAAGAAGTGTGGCTGTTTTTCCCTTGATGCCGGGGATAAAACCCAAGGTCATTTATATACTACGCAAGCACTTTAGCACGGAGCTACACCCCCAGCCTTTTGCAAAAATGTTTAGTTTGAAGAGGGTCCCCTTAGGTTGCCCAGGCTGGACTTGAACTTGTGATCCTCCTGCCTCAGCTTCCCGAGTAGCTCGAATCACAGGCGTGTGCCAACCACCATCTTTGGCTACAAATATATTCTTTTCATTCTCCTATTTCTGTTCTCAGGTACTGTAAGAAGTGATCAATCATGACAAATCCTTTGGCCATTCTTTAATGTTCTGTGACTAAAATAGTCATCCTCAGTGCAAATTTGGTAAATACAGCTGTAAGTACACCCAGATGGCTGATCACATTTTCTATTACGGGGTCTTCAAAGGGACAACTGTAAAAATTTTGTATGGATTGCCACACCCAGTGCTGTGACAGTGGTTCTAGCACCTCTTTTCCAAAGATACAAGTGGGGGAAGCTGGTCCCTTTGTCACTTGGCTTCAGACAAGTCGACTAAAATCATTCTGTGTAAATAGTATCCAGTGTAGCCAACTCGGGTTTGGCAGCTGCAGAGGGGAAAGTGTCCCATCCAGCCAGCAACCCCTGCACTGAAGAGGCCAGAGTGCCTGTAAGCTGGCCTGGCTCCTCTCGATCATGGCGCTGCCCATTCTGGGCAGTTTAATGCAAAAACAAAAAACAAAAACTCAAATGCTGAGTCACTTTGATCCCTGCCTAACTATGATAAATGTGAGAAGGGTTTTAAGAAAAATGGGGATGTTCTGCTAAAAATTATGCTTCTTGGGAAACTGGAGCACTAAGTCACATACCGGAAATCATCCCAACAGTAAGGCCATGGAGATGATTTGAAATCAGAGGGGAAATGTGGTTTTTGGTTTAAATGCAGGACCCAAAGGCTCAGAACTCAGGTTAAGGAGGCTGATTTTTCCCAAATGTGCACGTAGTGATGAAGTGTTAGAAGCATGAAAAATTGGCTTTGGAGGTTGGGACACTCTTCCTTGGAAGATACTTTGTTAACTACATATTTAAGGTAACTTGTCAGAAAGTTGTTGATAGCTATTTCTCATTTTTAAGAACTAAGTGGGGTCCTGGGAAGGAACCGGCAGGTGTGTGCAGGATGATCACCCCCCCACCCCATGTCTAAGGGGGACTACACTAGGTTTAATGGGTGTTGTTTCCTTTGGTTGGCTTGTTTTCCCAAGACAACTTTCTAAGACAAGCTTTCCCAAGTTGTTTTTGCATTAATGATCCTTAAAGTTGTCATGAGATAAGAGGTGGGAAAGCAGAGAAGGAGCCCCTCAGACTACCTAGTAGAGGAGAAAACAGAATTAATAGAAGATAATTGAAACATGGAGACTGTCAGAGAGGCCTTGCAGGGACCAGGCAATGTCAGGGCGGCCTATCGCCTCTTGGTCAGGACCCCAAAGGATTAAGTGCGTCCATGCTCCTGTTGATCCATTTCACAGATGCCAGTTGCAAGGTCACATGAAAGCCTAAATGACTGAAGACCTTGAAGGCCAAAGTGGGAGAGAACAGGAGTCTCAGGTGCATCCACCAGTGTCGAGGTGGCAGTAGCCAATCTCTCCGTGGGTCAGAAGGCCATGGGAATAGAACTGGGGATCCTGCAAAATGTGTGACCAAGGAAGAGTAGCTCCATTTCAACATGAACTCCTGATGGAGAGGAGGGCTAGGAAAACAGGCTTCCCACATGGTCTCACAGCTCTGCCCCTGCCGTTGTCCCCTCACAGGAAGCTTTCTTCCAAGTGGTCTTACCACCCCACAGGCATGGTCTAATTTCATCATGACACAAGGAAGTCACCCTGTCCAAAGAATGCAGCGCTATATGGTGCCACCCTCTCTCCTATACTAAAGCTGTAATTTTGGAAATGAGACTCAGAGCTGGGCAAAGTGATGACTAAACCGATATTCTACCTCCACCTTACCCCATCTCTGTTGGCTCACCAGAGCCCAATGAGATAACTGCCATTCTAGAGTCAGGCCACACTTCCTATGCACCCAGGACTAGTCCAAAGTCCATGTAACAGAAAGAGAAGGGTGCCCTTAAAGAACTTGGGGTGGGTTTCAGCCTGGCTTCAACTATAGTGCAATGGCTACAGACTAATGGCAGCATTAGTTGCACAGCAGCATCACCTATATGATTTCAACAACACAGAAGTATGACTTAAGTTTTTGTTTAAAGAAAAATGAGTGGTCGGTATCGCACACCCAACAGCTTCCTTGGCTCTCATCCAGTAGGTGGTTTCCAACTACTGAGGCTCAGAGTAATCCCAAAAACTTGTGTAGCATCGGCACAAAGGTTGTAGCACAGATGCCAACAGATGTGTAAGTGACAAACTTGTAAGGTACTTCAATCTCCAGTCTCTGCCTGGCCTCCTTGTTCCTGGTGACCACCTTGAACCATGAGAACAATACTTGCAGCGAAAGGCTTTGTACAAGTTGACGAACCAAGAGGATCAACACAATTCCCACTGTAAATTTGGTCAGACCCAAAACCAACCTGTCAGTGGAGAGGGGCAGGATATTCTGAATTACAGGGAGAGGTTCAGTGGGCTCGGATATGATATGGAAGAAGTGGTTGATCCAGAACCCTACGATCATTCCCGTCCCAGCAGCCATAATGGTAGTGGTATCGGCCCTGGTTGGGCTGTAGCATTCAGACACCGGGTAATTGTAACACAAGATAAAAGGCACAATGATGATCCACACAAGGAAGAGAGGGCTGGCCGAGTCCAGGCAGTCGATGTGGGTCCAGGCAGGGTAGGTGAGAACAATGAGGAGCGCAGTGATCAGGACACCACCCAGCACATCCTGCAGGGACAGAAGAGAAAAGTGGGAGCCAATGAGGGCTTCCTTGTTTCCATCTATTATTCTGAGTCAAATATGGTGAATTTGATATTTGAAATAAACTGCTGCTTTGTTTTATTTTACAGGATGAGTTCAAAGAAAGTGTAGCTTTGCAAAATTTTGAAATTGCAAATAAAAACTACACATAGTAAAAGCATGCTATTCATGTTACATATTTTCTTCCAGTTTTGCCTCTATTTTCAAATAAATGTCTGTATTTTTTAATGAATGGCTATAATCGCATGGTTCTTCATTTTTGTTTATTACATAGATCTTATAAGTATGTCAATACTCACTTCACAAGTCTTGTCATAGTCTTTATAGAGGCAGCTCTGACCTTTTAGGGCAGGTGGGGTTGGGGCTTCAGGCTGGCTGGAGGGGGGTTAGCTTGAGGGAGAAGCACATAAACCAGCAAGCACAGCATTGCTCCTTAGAGGATATGGAATAAGATGTGTGGGTGATGTGTAATACGCAGGGTGGCTTGAGAAGTCACTTTGGATGTATTTGGACCCAAACTCTACCTTGCCAGGTTTGCCACTCTGTCTTCGGGATTAGGATTTCAAACACTGTACATACCCTTGCTTCCCCCCCACCTCTTGCTGAGCTAGGGATTGAACTCGGAGCCTTGTGCATGCTGGGCAAGTGCTCTACCACTGACCCATATTCCCAGCCAGACAGTGTCCATAGTGTCATTAAGTAGATGCACCGTTCTTCAGAACATTTTAGAGTGTGTTTTTCTTTCTTCCTTTTCCTCCCTTGTTCACTGCTTAAAATATTTTCAACTCCTCAGTGTCATGCATCTTCTTCCTTTAGCTTTCTCATTGTAAAATTTATTATAAGATAAAGTCCTTATGCCATTAATAGACTAATACAGTTAAATCAGAGAATGAAGAGCTTGCTATAGTTGTGTTACTGAGCTCCATGTGGATTATTTTGAAAGTTTACAACTGAAACATTTAAAACATGTTCCCCAGTGCTTTAGAAAATCTGGAAAATACCAAAAACTAATAGACATGCATTGTAGAAAATCTGGGAAACTCTGAGAAGTATAAGAAGAAACATAGATCCATAGTTCCAGTACTTAGAGTAAAAAATGCTGGCTATATTTTGGCATAGTTTCTTCAATTCTCTTTCTCTCTCTCCCTCTCTCTGTCTCTCTCCATATATATATATATATATATATGTGTGTGTGTGTGTGTGTGTGTATATATATATGTGTGTATATATATATTAGTATATATACTAATTAATATATATACTAATTTATATCTATATATGTATTTTAAGACTTAGTCTTTTTTCCTAATAACTTCATTCATCATTTCTTTTGCCTAGGTCTAATATAATGACATTTGACTTGGGTAAACAATAAAGAGAATTGGATCTTAGAAATAATCATCAAGACTGAAGCAAATTTCAAAGCTTAGTGGGCATCCACCCATTCTTCCAATAATCATGTGTGAGTGCCTGCTGTATGCCAGACAGAGTGCTACAGGATCCAATGTGAATTAAGTAAATATAATCCTCACCCATAGAGTAACAGATGGTTACTCTCATGTAAAAGGGAAAGAGGCCACAGTATAGATCTTGTTGGTCCATTGAGATTAGAGAACTTGTGAACACAGGCGGGAGGCACTTTACATAGAGACCGGAAGTCCAATCCACTTCATAAGCACTGTATCCTGGTAACAATGGGAAGCTCTCAGTGGGTAACAACATGGCTAGTTTCACTTGTAAATGATCATTCTGACTGCAGGGAGGAGAATGGATGGAAGATGAGTGAGAATTGATGAGGGAGACTGCCTGCCTCTTAGAGGAAGTCCTCTGCCTCCTCACATCCTCTGTGAAGCAGCTGGGGCTTCGCCACCTTTTACTTCGGCCCTCATTCTTCTCATGACTTAGACACTTGGCCTTCACAGTCTCCGTAGTCTCCCTTCCTGTGGTTCCTTCTTTTGATGTATGAATTTGCATTGATGTTGCCTCAATTTTGGAAAAAGGCAAAATTTTTTTCTTTAAAGCTTCCTGGTCACTAAAATAAAGCCCAATTCTTTGAATTTTCCACGTTACCTCCAGTTTCTCAACTTGACACACAGCTTTTGTCTAAGTTCCTACAATTAGAGGATACATCACCTTCAGTGGCCATTTTCTATGTACTTCTTGGTTATTTCTTCAGCATCTATGTCTTCCACTCAATATTTTCCTGTGGGTATCCATGAGGTTCATGAGGTTCTGGAAAACTGTGGTGTTGGAGCACATGACCTGGCTAGGCCAATCAATGTACTTTATCTTACAGTCACAGTGAATAGTGCTGGGTGGTCATGTGACCTAGCTGGTCCAATCAGAATGAATTGTATGGCTTTTATTTAGAATTCTCAAGGAGCAATTTTCTCTTCCTCTGAACACTGTGTCCGTGGACTTAAATCCTTTACTTAGCAGACCTTTGACATTTAGCTTTTATACATCTTATCCTGTTCCATCCTGGTTCTTCTTGACCTCCATCCTGGTTCTTCCAAGACCTTGAAAAAGTCTCCCTTTTGGTTTCTTCCTTTGGCTCTTGTTCTTTTTACATTTTAAACATGGGCATGCCCATAGATTCTGTTGTCCAGCCCTGTGTGTTTTCTCTCTGGAAGACTCTGCAGGCCCATGGCTTCATCTCTCCATTCTCCATCTATGTGTGACTCTCTCATCTATGTATTTGGGTATCTCTCTGAACTCTAGTTCTACATAATTTTTATTTGAATACTACCTATCTGCTCTACAAGCTAACTTTTCTAAAATAAAAATCACAAGCAAATTCCTTCCCCCAAACAATAAAGGAAATTAATTTATAGAAAAGGAAATATAAATGTCTAAAATATTTAAAAATAACCCTACATACACCTTGTCATGAAATGCAAAACAAACTATATAGAGGAACTTAAAACTTGTGTTTCCATAAAAACTGTACATGTATGTTTCTATTAATAGAAATTCTATTAATAATCATCCCAAACTGAAAACAACTCCAATGCCATTCAGTGGGTGAATGAGTAAATAAGGTATGGTACATTTATGCAATGGAACAGTTCTCAGTAATAAAAAGCAACTAATTATGCTGAGTGGAAAAAGCCAAGCTCCAAGGACTAACACTGTACAGTTCTATGTATATGACCTTCTCTAAAAGACAACAGCACAGGGGTAGAGAATTGACCCATGATTGAGAGTATTGGGGGCTGAAGTGAGACTGCAAAGGGATGGCATGAGGCAGGGCCACTTGGTTGTTGTTGTTTGTGGCACTGGGGATTGAACCCAGGGCCTTTGCACTGAGCCACATTTCCAGTCCCCCCTTCCTAAGATAGGATCTCACTTGTGATCCTCCTGCCTCATCCCCCCATGGGTTATGTGCCACCATGCTCAGCTGTGAGGAATTGTTAGGTGATGCAACTATTCTGTACTGCAGTGGTGATTACAAACTGTACATGTGACAATTAATAGAGCTTTATGCCAAAAGTAAAGTCCATTTGACTGCTAATCAAAAATAAAATTAAAACCTGGCCCCATGGCACATTTCCATAGTCCCAGTTACTTGGGAGGCTGCGGTGAGAGGATCACTGGAGCCTGGGGGTTTGAATCCAGCCTGGGCAACATAGTGAGAGCTCATGAAAACAAAGAATCAACCAATCAATTAATTAAACACACATTTCTAACAAACATGAAAATTTAAGACTTGGTGGTCTCTTTTGTCACCACTGAATAATTGAATAACATTGTTGAGTATTGGGCTGGGGATTTAGTGCAGTGGTTCCGGCGCCTGCCTTGCAAGCGCAGGGTCCTGAGTTTGATCCCCGGTACCAGAAAAAAAGAAAAACAAAAACATTGTTGAATACTGGCTGTGGTTATGTCAGTAGGCTCTGGGCAGGTACAGAGTGTTCCAACATGCCCACTCCTGCCTACAACTTCCCACACAGACTTTGCTGAGAAGCTACTCACTCACCCTGCTGACAAAAATTTTGAAGTTTTACACATTAATGAATCTGTATGTTCATTAATCGCATGTATTCAAAGTAGTGCATACTTTATGGGGTGAAACCAGTAGCTTTAAAAATTGCATGTTTATTTATCCTTTGATTCAGCAGTCTCACTCTGGGACTTGACCTAGAGATATGCCGTATGATCAAAATGTACGCTGAATATTTAAAGTTTTAAAAAATTTATTATAGTAAAAAATATATTTCTATTGATCCCCCTCCAAATACTTCCCCTTGGGCTGGGGATTTAGCTCAGTAGTTCTGCCGCCTGTCTTGCAAGTGCAAGGGCCTGAGTTCAATCCCTAGTACCAAAACAAACACAAAAAATCCCCAAAAACTTCCCCTCACTTTGAACACACTTATCTCATTGTTCTTGCCACTTTCTGAAGCAAGTCTGGAAGTCCTCTTTCCTGAGCGTCTTTAGTTGTGCTGTCATGGCAGCCTCAAAGTCCTGAATTGACTTAAAACAATGACCTTTCATGGTTGTTTTGACTTTGGGGAAGAGCAGAAGTCACATGGTGCCAGATCTGGGGAATACCTGGATGAGGACACACTGTAAAGTTTTTACAAGCCTGCCTTTCTGCTGGATGGCCCTCAGCAGCAGCAGCATTCACTGCATTTTGGCTAATTAAAGTATTCACACTTCATAGAGACACCCAGGAAAGAGGACTTGCAGAACTGCTTCACGAAGTGGCAAGAACAATAGGGAAAGTGTGTTCAAGGTGAAGGAGAGTATTAGGACAGAGATTAATAGCGATGTATCTTCTATTGTAATAAATATCTTAAAATTTTAAGCATTCATCATGTTTTCTGACTGCTCCTTGTAGAACAGCAGGTGTAGATAGGATCAGAGTGGTTCGTGAGCACATATGAGATTCACATGGAAAATTCTGGAAATATTTTGTGGAGGAATTTCTATCTGGATGGGAGTAAAATAGAGTTCTGCAGATGTTAAGA